GCCTTGACTGCTAAAATTAAAAACTTAAATTAAATTTCGAGCTTTCGCAGATCAACGGCATCATAAGAAATAAGAAAAATATTCCGCATGGTAATATACATATGAAAAAATTGGTGTAAGCAAACTGTGTGAAAAGCGCAAGAATGGTGTGGAATGTATCCTGAGGTATAAAAATTTAAAACTTGAATAAAATACAAAGATCTAATGAGTGAGTGGCACAGGACAAAGAGTCTCTTGAAAGGAAAAATGATTCATAATGATGGTCTTTAAAACTAAAGGTCCGCAAATTCGTTGCACTCGTCATGGTAGTTTAGGGCTGTCTTCAATATAATCGAGTTGCAAAAGGACACGCAGGTTGACAAAAATCTCTCCAAAGACAAAAATAACTTCTAAAAACAAAAGGTCCTCAAATGCGTTGCATTTCTCATGGGAGGTGAGGACTGGCTCAATGTAAATCGAACTGCGAAGACCACGCTGGTTATGATAAACTTTTTGATAATAAAACCCTATTCCTTGATTAAGTGCCGCATAAAATTCAACTTACAAAACCCTGGTTCTGAGTCGAGAAACGAACACGCTACCTCAATGGAGTAAATCGAGCTGCAAGAACAAGCTGGTTTTGACAAAACTTGGAGCTTAAGAGCCTATTCCTATAGCTGCTGCTTTAAACGCAATTTATAAAGCAAACCAGAGCACTAATAGCCCTTTCAAAGTAGAAAAAATCGTATTAAGACTTGCTCACCTGTTAGGGCCTCTTAAACAGAAAACGAACAGCTGCAGACGGGATCACCCAATTTCGAACCACGAGTTGTAAATACATGATCATGACGTCACTGCCCAAATATGGGGTCTTACCTACACCCAAATATGGTCAAAAATACAAATTTTAGAGGGATACGCAGAATTTGAGAGTTTTTGCCTACATTGCGCGGGATTATGAATCTGCCGCCGAGGCAACCTCGCTTCTTAGCTTTTATGTTCCCAGCTCTTCCCTTTACGACGTTACTTCCAGGAGTGCAAAAAAGAGCAAAAGATAAGCTAGATATAAGAAAATCATAATGCTGATGAAACCGCAGATGTTCAGTAGAAGAAAACGAGAATCTCTTGATTAAACAAGTAATATCTTTTGGTGCACTGAATTGTTTTGTTATTACATTGAAAATATAGACAATCTGGCAGGCCCTCAGGTAATGCTACTGAGTTTACGATAGCAGGACAAAAAAAGGGGTTACCAACGACAGAAAAGCAATTGGGCAATCCGAAAGCTAAAGGGAGAGAGGGTACTTGCTTTCAGCATAACGAATTCTGTGATCGTTTAGGTGGACAAACGTTTAATCTAATCGTTTTAATCCAATGGCAAGCATTAATCAATCAGTTGTTCACAGATAATGACAAAACTCTCAACGGGCAACAAAGATCCTCAGTCAAGGAGTAAAGTTTCTCACCTCACCCTACAGTGAAGTTAGCCTAAGTGTAACCGCACCCTCCCCCCCAACTCTTTTGCGGGGCAGTGCAGCTACATGTAGGCTACAGAGAAGTTTGCACTGAGGTTCTCTTAAGCTCCAAGAAGGCATAGCCCGTTCTCAGTATGTCATCGATAATGAGGAGGGGTTTTGAAACCTAACGTAACTTATTTCACCTCAAATTCTCAATTCCCTGCCTTCGTGGGAATGAGCTGAACCTCATAAATCGGGACTAGATACAATAGAGCTCTTATGGTAAAGGTTAAATGTCCTTATTTTACGTCGGTAACTCGTAATAGTATATTTATTAAACTGAAAAACCTGAGGCCGACGCTGCATTCATTTTACCCCCTCCCACCTTTCTCCATCAGAGCTCCGATTTACGGGTACCGTTATTTAAAGCTTCTTAAAGCCACACAGAAAGGAGAAGAAGTCGAAACAAGGACAGATTTGAGGTCACACCTGGGTACGGAACTGATGGACCCTCCGCACAGACAACACAGGATTTTGTCAACAAATTCAATAGTTAGAGTGTCTAATCAGATATTCATCAAAGTGTTAAAAGGGCTACAAGAACAAAAAGAAAACTGCTTAAAAACTACGGAGTGCACCTACTCTCCAGTCGACTATGTGTAACGTGGCGTGAGTTTATAAAAATAGTCCCTCTAGATCTTGTAGCTTTGTTTTGAGATGTTGCGAGAGCCATTACTGCCTTAAGGTGATTCCCTAGTTTTGCAATGCGCATCTCTTACTGCGCATAACAAGATGGCCGCCGTAAAAAACAGCACGTGAAGTAATATTATTAAAATGAACTTGACTGAAGAGAAACGCTATTGGAATTTTTGCTTGCTGTTGTTTCTTGCCAAGGTGAGACTCAATGTGTTTGGGATGTGCATAACGTAAGCAGTACGCACGTTGCGGAGTTCGACCTCCTCTCGGAGAACTTCGATAGTGGATGTTTAACTTGGGCTTACTCACTTTGATTTTCATTTAAACACTTCCTTTATCACATTGTGTCCTAAATGTGATATCTCGATGTAAATTCTGTAAAAACAGATTTTTTAATACTTTCTTCCCCCTTTCACATAAATTCTATTTTGAAACTCGCCCCAGTCCTCTCTCAAAAAGCGGAGAAAATGCGTTTGGTGCGCACTTTCTTCAGCTCTACCGCAAAAACGAGTACGGTGACCCCCATTTTTTATTCCATGATTTTTATAAGGACAGTGCTTCCTTTCGATGAGAAAAAAATTGGCACAAATCTATGTTCAGTTTTTTGGCAATTTTACTAAATTGTACGGAAAGAGCCATCACGGGTCGAAAAGCGCGCGTCCAATTTAATTCTACTGTGGAGCGTAAAGTAAAAACAAGGGCATTAAAAGGCATTTTTCTGGTACGTAAGTGGATAAACAATACATTAAAGTCAAATTCTGTGTGATGCCACATGCATCATCGAAAAAATCTTTCCTTTTTGTCTAGTTTTGGGCTGCCCGCGGTTTTTGTAAAAGGGTCCTTTTATCGGCATAAACAGTCGTAACACTGCAGTTTTGCTCGTGCCACTGGGGGTGAAAAATAACGAAAAAATAGTAGAAGAACACTTGTTACATCAGTGTACCAAGTTTTAGCTACAATCTATGTTAGGTTCCTTTACTATGGAATCACCTTAAAAACTCATTTGAACTTTTTTTTTTTTTTACTTTTTTCCGGTTCTCGAAATTCAAAGCTGATTGACCCGCTTTTACAACAACGTATGCGCAGTGGAAGTGATTTGTTCCTTTGTGGGTAAGGATACATATTTTTTTATTCAATAATCCGAAAAGCAATCTTTTTTACTCTTTGTCAATTTTTTGCAATCTAAGCCTAGCCTAGGAACGAGAATGCAGTTTTAAGGTGGCTCGATAGGGTTTTTCAGGGTCATATCCTCCCATGTTTGAGCATAAACTACGTCGTCATTTACAAAGATTTGGAAAAATTACCACCACAGCTGTATTAGATTAAGATGAAAATTTGTTATGATCAGGATTATAACTGACATTGGAGTTGTCATAGTAACTAAATGACGCCATTACCTATTTTACTTGCAGCCGTATTTCTCGGCACTGGGAACTGTCTTCCAAAATCGGTAAGAGCGTGATCGAGATATTTTGGGATGTTTTTATGGTTAGAAATCTTGATGTATGGTTAATAATCTTGATGTTCGGCCTTTATCTGTAGTTAACGAAGCGCTTTTGAAGTACAATTTCGCCCTCAGTCTTTTTAAACACGTGTGTGAAAGATCTTGGAGATAGCTCTAGCCGATTTCTAGAAAGAAAGATTTGATTGGTATATATCGGGGAGCTCCTGTTAGCGGTTTTGTAAACATTTTGGTCTCCTTTAACAAATAAACGAATAATTTTGAAACCGCTCGATAGATTTTTTTCAACAATTTGAGATTCTCACGATTAACCGTCGTTTTATATGACCTTGGAGTTTCAAGATTATTGATATGCTGTAAGGCAGTGAAAGAAGGGCTATAATTCGCTATTTTTTGGCGGAAATTTTGTGTTTACAACTGAGAGCAACTAATTGCAGTTGCCGTTGCTAAACGTTCTGGGTAAAGTCCCTCTCGATCAAATTAAAAGCAGCCGAAGCAGCATCTCGCAGTAGATAATCTTGGGCCGCTTATCATTATGAGTTCTTAGGCCTAGGCCAAACGTTAACCTTTTCATGAGACCAACCAAACTCTAATTTAGAATCGTGTGCTGGGTCAGACGTCGAACTTAAGACGCGTCAAACTAATCAGCCGAATCAGATCAGTAATAAATTTTTCTCCCGAACGAGGCTAAATTCGCATTTATTACAATACATATTTTTAATTTATTGGCGAAGCGCGCGCGGGCGGAGCCCCATAGCTAAGAAAATTTGGTTACCTATCCATCGAAGAAGTTTTGGTAATCACGAGACCGCACGTCCAACCGAAGTCCGTCCGCGCCACAGGGAAACCAATATGAAAATGTTACACTTTCTAGCTGGTGTGGGAGCCTGTAACCTGATATTGCACTTCCATGTTGTAGTCAATTGACAGCTGTCAAAACAAAGTATCCGCTGATCAGTATTACATGACCGTATCGCGGGCTCAGGTTACGTGCTTAGGTACTTTAAGTAGGGTTATTAAAGTGTATCAAGAATGCATTTAAAATAATGTATTGACATGTATACCCATGTAATGTTATATATAGCCATGTATAGCCATCTATTGCCATGTATAGCCATGTATAGCCATGTATTGTCATGTATTACCAAGTATAGCCATGTATACCCATGTAATGCCATCTATTGCCATGTATTACCATGTATAGCCATGTATAGCCATGTATTGCCATGTATAGCCATGTATAGCCATGTATAGCCATGTATTACCATGTACGGCCATGTATAACCATGTATAGCCATGTATTGCAATGTATAGCCATGTATTGTCATGTATTACCATGTATAACCATGTATACCCATGTAATGCCATGTATTGCCATGTATTACCATGTATAGCCATGTATAGCCATGTATAGCCATGTATTGCCATGTATAGCCATGTATAGCCATGTATTGTCATGTATTACCATGTATAGCCATGTATACCCATGTAATGCCATGTATTGCCATGTATTACCATGTATAGCCATGTATAGCCATGTATAGCCATGTATAGCCATGTATTACCATGTATAGCCATGTATAACCATGTATAGCCATGTATAACCATGTATAGCCATGTATTGACATGTATCACCATGTACTACGATCTATTGCCATGTATCACCATGTATAGCCATGTATTGCCATTTATTGCCATGTATTACCATGTATAGCCATGTATAGCCATGTATAGCCATGTAATGCCATGTATTACCATGTATCACCATGTATTACCATGTATAGCCATGTATACCCATGTATACCCATGTAAAGCCATGTATAGCCATATATAGCCATGTATTGCCATGTATAGCCATGTATAGCCATATATACACATGTAATGCCATGTATTGCCATGTATTACCATGTATAGCCATATATAGCCCGGTATTACCATGTATAGCCATGTATAGCCATGTATAGCCATGTATAGCCATGTAATGCCATGTATAGCCATGTATACCATGTATTACCATGTATAGTCATGTATACCAATGTATACGCATGTAATACCATGTATTGCCATGTATAGCCATGTATAGCCATGTATAGCCATCTATAGCCATGTATAACCATATATAGCCATGTATAACCATGTATAGCCATGTATTGACATGTATCACCATGTACTACCATGTATTGCCATGTATCACCATGTATAGCCATGTATTGCCATGTATTACCATGTATAGCCATGTATAGCCATGTATAGCCATGTATAGCCATGTAATGCCATGTATTACCATGTATTACCATTTATTACCATGTATAGCTATGTATAGCCATGTATACCCATGTAAAGCCATGTATAGCCATGTATAGCCATGTATTGCCATGTATAGCCATGTATAGCCATATATACTAATGTAATGCCATGTATTACCATGTGTTACCATGTATAGCCCTATATAGCCAGGTATTACCATGTATAGCCATGTATTGCCATGTACAGCCATGTATTACCATGTATTGCCATGTATCACCATGTACTGCCATGTATTACCATGTGTTTTTATGTTCACCATGTATAGCCATGTATACCCATGTAATACTATGTATTACCATGTATTACCATGTATTACCATGTATAGCCATGTATACCCATGTATACGCATGTAATGCCATGTATTGCCATGTATAGCCATGTATTACCTTGTAATGCCATGTATAGCCAGGTATTAACATGTATAGCCATGTATTGCCATCTACATCCATGTATTACTATGTATTGCCATGTATCACCATGTATAGCCATGTATTACCATGTAATGCCATGTATAGCCATGTATAGCAATGTATTACCATGTATAGCCATGTATAACCATGTCTAGCCATGTATTGCCATGTACATCCATGTATTAATATGTATTGCCATGTATCACCGTGTATAGCCATGTATTACCATGTAATGCCATGTATAGCCATGTATAGCAATGTATTACCATGTTTAGCCATGTATAACCATGTCTAGCCATGTATTGCCATGTACAGCCATGTACTATAATTTATAGCGATGTATTACCATGTATAGCCATGTATAACCATGTCTAGCCATGTATTGCCATGTACAGCCATGTACTACCATGTATTGCCATGCATCACCATGTATAGGTATGTATTACCATGTATCACCATGTATAGCCATGTATTACCATGTATACTCATGTATAGCCATGTATTGCCATGTATTACCATGTATAGCCATGTATTGCCATGTATTACCATATATAGCCATGTATAGCCATGTAATGCCATGTATTACCATGTATCACAATGTATTACCATGTAGAGCCATGTAGAGCCATGTATACCCATGGAATGCCATATATTGCCATGTATTACCATGTATAGCCATGTTTAGCCGTGTTTAGCCATGTATAGTCATGTATAGCCATGTAATGCCATATATTGCCATGTATTACCATGTATAGCCATGTATACCCATGTAATGCCATGTACAGCCATGTATTACTATGTATTACCATTTATTACCATGTATAGCCATGTATTACCATGGATAGCCATGTATAGCCATGTATTACCATGTATTACTATGTATTACCATGTATCGCCATGTATTACCATGTATTACCATGTATAGCCATGTACTGCCATGTATCGCTATGTATTACCATGTGCATGTATTACCATGTATAGCCATGTATAACCATGTCTAGGCATTTTTGCCATGTACAGCCATATACTACCATGTATTGCTATGCATCACCATGTATAGCCATGTATTACCATGTATCACCATGTATAGCCATGTATTACCATGTATACACATGTATAGCCATGTATTGCCATGTATTACCATGTATAGCCATGTTTAGCCATGTATAGTCATGTATAGCCATGTAATACCATATATTGCCATGTATTACCATGTATAGCCATGTATACCCATGTAATGCCATGTACAGCCATTTATTACTATGTATTACCATTTATTACCATGTATAGCCATGTATTACCATGGATAGCCATGTATCGCCATGTATTACCATGTATAGCCATGTACTGCTATGTATCGCTATGTATTACCATGTGCTGCCATGTATTGCCATGTATACCCATGTATTGCCATGTATACCCATGTATTACCATGTATAGCCATGTACTGCCGTGTATCGCAATGTATTACCATTTGCTGCCATGTATTGCCACGTATTACCATGTATTGCCATGTATTGCTATGTATAGCCATGTATCGCCATGTACTGCCATGTATTACCATGTGTTTTTATGTATCACCATGTATTGCCATGTATAGCCATGTATAGCCATGTAATGCTATGCATAGCCATGTATAGCCATGTAATGCCATGTGTAGCCATGTATTACCATGTATAGCCATGTAATGACATGCATAGGCATTTAATGCCATGTATTGCCATGTATTGCCATGTATTACAATGTATTGCCATGTATCGCCATGTATTACCATGTATAGCCATGTATTGCTATGTATTTCTATGTATAACCATGTACTGCCATGTATATAGCCATGTATTGCCTTGTCTTTCCATGTATTGCCATGTATAGCCAATTACTGCCTTGTATCGCCATCTATTACCATGTATTACCATGTATGCCCATGTACTGCCATGTATTATCATGTATTGCCATGCAGTACCGTGTAATGCCATAAATAATCGGATGCGTTTATAAATTGAGGGTCTTATTTTCTGAATTTTACGGTATTGTGCTAGCTTGAGATTATAGGAAATCCTATTTTTAGATTTCAGATTTATTTCTGCAATCTTGCATACTATGAATTTACGGCGAGTCAGTGATGAAATTTTTGCCAGCTTAGTTGTCTTGAATTTTTAAATAAATTTTATGCCTTTAAAATTGTTATAAATCTTTTCAAATAAGGAGGTTCTGAATGGGTGTTTTCTTGAAATATTCACTGTTCTTTACGCATGTACGAATGCCGATTTGAATTTAACACTATAAGAGGGAACAACTAAGGGACTCATTTTTCAACTGAATAATCAATTTATTAATAGAATCTAGGGAGGTATGTTTGACAATACTGTGACAATAGTGTATTTGATTCATTGGTCCTGGTGGTGGACTTAACCCTCCCCTCACAGCCATCCTCTCCACGCATTTATTTATGTTTTCAGCGAGTCACTTCCAGTCAGTACAGGAATTGATAGTTCTGCAACGTGCGGANGGAGGTATGTTTGACAATACTGTGACAATAGTGTATTTGATTCATTGGTCCTGGTGGTGGACTTAACCCTCCCCTCACAGCCATCCTCTCCACGCATTTATTTATGTTTTCAGCGAGTCACTTCCAGTCAGTACAGGAATTGATAGTTCTGCAACGTGCGGAAAAATTGATGTTTTCGAAACGCCAACATCGGCCAAAAAAAAGACATATGTATGTATGGTATATGGCCTCGATCTTCATGAGTTCTTAGTAGTTGAAAGTGGATAGAGAGCACCCGCCTTGTGTATGGGAGGTCATATGTATGCATCTTGTTGGGGACTCAGATGTTTTCTTTGTTCCACGCTAGTGACATGCTGTTTATCTCATGTTTACATAATTTGTATAGGTAATAGCATGATTTGTAGTGATATTTGGCATAAATACCACGAGTGATATTTCGAAATTGTTATACTTAATTTCGCGAGCCGTTAGGCGAGAGAAATTTGAGACAATTTTGAAATATCACGAGTGGTATTTATGCCAAATATCACGTACAAGTCATGCTATCATTTGTTTATACTACCACCCGCAAAAGGTTTGTAATTTTCACATGAAGGTATTTCAAATTAAGCTGAAATACCACTGCTCTAAGCCAATCAAATTGCAGTAATTTTTCATGTAGTAGTATAACAAATGTTATAAAATTATTTTAAAATATCCGCTTTTTTCTCATTACCAATAATAATCTGAAGTCTCTGCCCTTTCTGCACCTGATCTCATAGACAACAGAAAGTTACTTCAAGGGGTTCAAAAGGTCATGGTTCGAGGTTTTTAAATTGGTGGATTTCGATCCGTTTGGTGTGTTTCTGTGTTTCAATGAAGGTTCGTTGTTTTTAAACTTTAATTTTCGCGTTTTCTCACGTGTTATGTTTTTTTAGATTCCCAAATTGAAATTCAAGGATTTTGACAACGCAAGTCCCTTGTTACCCGAAAAAACTGTTACCGCACACATGTCAAAACTTTAATTTTGCTATTATTGCCTGTTACTGAATACGCATGCTCTGTTTCTCGTTATAGTTTCCCGCAACACCTTCGGTTGATGTAGAGAGATGTCAAAGGCGGTTTTCCTACGATGACAGCGCTCTTCATGACTCAGCTAGTCGCCTTACAAGAATACCGCAAGTTCTTAATTGACAACCTTCTATATTCCATTCTGTGTAATCCTTCACTCAAGCTGTACACCTAGCTTAGTCTCTTCTAAAAACAAGTGCGAGATCCATTTAAGGGCTGGGTAAGCTCGCTTTCATCTCCCCCTACCCGTTCTCGTAATAGCTTCATTCATCTTAATGTCAATACTACCGAATCCGGTAAGGGCCTCGTAAATTTGCCCTCTCATTTTCTGATTTCGAGACCTTACTTTTAGCAATTTTTTTCTTCGACTTTCATTGTGACCGGTAGTTATCTGCGAGCCTAAACACTCTTAAGTTAACGCAAACTTGAAGCAATTCCATATGAGAGCCAAACAAAGGCTAAAGGCTAAGATTTCTCGATGTTAAAGTCTTAAATGAAAGCATCCATCGATACGATTATCCTACATTAAATACCTTGGTAGAACTGCTTTATTTAGGGGCAATAAACCAGTTACAACAATGTCGCCACTTTTTTTTGCAATTGACTACGTCTCTGAGCAGGCAGCGATGAAAACAGTCGAAAGAAAAAGTCGCGAAAGAAAGACGCGACAAATGAAATGCCACGAAAAAAAATCGCAAAAAAATAGAATGTCGCGAATAAAAAAAGTCCCGATACCAGAAAATGAGAGTGTAAATTTGCATAACCCTTACGGGGCTCCGTACAATACGACAATGTTTGAAATAGTCCTACAATGCAGATTTTTTATCATTGTTATTCTTACATTTTAAAACCATGCTTTTTTCAGATATTAAGCCTTCATTTTTGTTTGAAATCAGAGGTACCCCGAGTTCTACCTGTTATGTTTTATCAACTGAGACACCATCTATCTATCTATCGTTAATATTAAAAGGCTATTCTAAAATGAAATGCCACGAAAAAAAATCGCAAACAGATAGAATGTCGCGAATAAAAAAAGTCGCGATACGAGAAAACGAGAGTGTAAATTTGCATAACCCTTACGGGGCTCTATACAATACAACAATGCTTGAAATAGTCCTACAATGTAGATTTTTTATCGTTATTATTCTTACATTTTAAAACCATGCTTTTTTCAGATATTAAGCTTTCATTTTTGTTTGAAATCAGACGTACCCCCGAGTTCTACCTGTTATGTTTTATCAACTGAGACACTATCTATCTATCTATCGTTAATATCAAAAGGCTATTCTAAAATGAAATGCCACGAAAAAAAATCGCAAAAAAATAGAATGTCGCGAATAAAAAAAGTCGCGATACGAGAAAACGAGAGTGTAAATTTGCATAACCCTTACGGGGCTCTATACAATACAACAATGCTTGAAATAGTCCTACAATGTAGATTTTTTATCGTTATTATTCTTACATTTTAAAACCATGCTTTTTTCAGATATTAAGCTTTCATTTTTGTTTGAAATCAGACGTACCCCCGAGTTCTACCTGTTATGTTTTATCAACTGAGACACTATCTATCTATCTATCGTTAATATCAAAAGGCTATTCTAAAATGAAATGCCACGAAAAAAAATCGCAAAAAAATAGAATGTCGCGAATAAAAAAAGTCGCGATACGAGAAAACGAGAGTGTAAATTTGCATAACCCTTACGGGGCTCTATACAATACAACAATGCTTGAAATAGTCCTACAATGTAGATTTTTTATCATTATTATTCTTACATTTTAAAACCATGCTTTTTTCAGATATTAAGCCTTCATTTTTGTTTGAAATCAGACGTACCCCCGAGTTTTACCTGTTATGTTTTATCAACTGAGACACTATCTATCTATCTATCCTTAATATCAAAAGGCTATTCTAAAAAGTTCTGAAAGACGACTCAATTGCCTGACGAGTGAGATTTCATTCTCTTTCAAATAAACCTTACAAAATTTATCTTAATGGAAGTTCGCCATACACTTTTAAACCAGGTCTTGAATCCCTGTAGTATTCATAAGTGACTCGTGCAAAGAATGTTTCTCTTTCAAGTGAGACAATTTTCCAATTATGCTTGACAACGATTTGTACGTTATAGCCATGCCAATCTCCTTTACTTTATTAGAAGATACAACAAAATTATACAATTCTGCGATGTTTTTAGAGTTCAGGACAACGCCAGAACCGTCGATTACCTCTGTTACCACAGAAAGGAAGATGCTCTCTAGCTTTGTCCAAGGACCACTAGATACAGTGAATCCCTGTTTTGCTAAGTAATCAGCCCCTCTCATTCGTTTGTATGTTTGTGGATTTGTCCTTTTTCGCTTGGATGGTGTGGTGTTGGAGCAACGTTTGTCGGGGCAGTCCTTGCCATTTCCACAGTTTGTGCACCTACAGACGCTATCGCATTTTACTCCAACGCGTAAACAAGGACATCTCGACTTTCTCTTAACGTGATCTTGGCAGGAAACGCGCCTTGCTTTCTCCTTGTTCAATGATCCGCAGGTACAACCTTTAGGCTTGCTGACTGCTCCCTTTTTCTGTAATCCTTGATTATTGCAATTTATACATCTACAGAGACGAGTGCAAGTTTGCTGATTCCTTAAGCAGGAGCACCTTGATTTTTCAGATTCCATGCAGGATGCAATATCTGTCAGCCCTCGAGACTTAGACATTAACCCACAGCAACAACCTTTCCTTTTGTTCTGGCTGTTTGACACGATTTGGCTCCCCATCTCTGATAATAAAAAAATATATGAAAACATATTTATTTGGGACATACATTCAAGAGACAAACATGTAGGTTAAATTTATATTTGTGAGCTACATCCATTAAACCTTCATTCAGGTGACATATTAGCTGTCATAACGTGTCTGACCACGTGCTTTTTATTTTACGTTTTACTCATCTATTTCTCTCTTTTTGTTGAACCTTATTTTTTTTCTTTATCTATACCAGCTATCGGGCATGTGTCAGTTGCGAACTCTTCACTGCTCTAGCCGATCATGATGCAATTAGTATACAAATGGTATAAGTAGTACAGTTGACATAATAATCGCGGTTATATTGTACTTCTGAAGACAGCCGCGAAGTTTCACAGTAGTTAACATGTGGTGTTTTGGGTACTGTACTACACTTTGTCTATATGTGCTTTCTTGAATGAAGACGAAATTTTCTCAATACTAAGTGATGTGCACGCGTTTACCACACTGTCATTTGTGTGGGAAAACAAGGAGCCGTCAGGGTTGCCCCGAGCTCATTGTGAGACGCTTACAGGAATTTGAATTTTTCTATTCAAAAGAAAGAAGATTGCAAACCATGTAGAACCTTCACCGCACCCTCTGTGTCTGTATCTCTATTCCTTAAAACAACAATATCACGATGACCAGAGAAAATTTCGAAAAAATTCCGTTGATACCAATAGACCAAAAAAGTGGCCGTACTGACTAGGTGACCGTATTAGCGAGGCTTTCTTTGCAAGAAAATGAATAGTCGTTTTTACCGGGCGGCCAAAAAAAGTGATCTTAATAACGAGGTGACCGTATCGACCGCGGTGGCGATAAGGCGGGGCTCCACTGTAGTTCATCTCATTTTTTGCGCATGATCTCTTCAGTAAATTTTATACCACTCAAGAAACCTATATCATTACAGCGATAAACACAATAGGGCCATTTATACGAGGAAAAATAAGACGCTTCTTAAATAAGACGCGAACTGTACCATTTATACGAGCATGTCTTATCTAATAAGACGCGTCTTAGCTAAGCCGCGTCTTATTTTAGACGAAATGTGCCGTTTATACGGAAAGTTCGCGTCTTATGTAAGACGCGTCTTATTTTTCCTCGTATAAATGGCCCTAATGTTCCTCACCTCGAGTAGCATCGTAGTGTCCAGGCCCANAATAAGACGCGTCTTAGCTAAGCCGCGTCTTATTTTAGACGAAATGTGCCGTTTATACGGAAAGTTCGCGTCTTATGTAAGACGCGTCTTATTTTTCCTCGTATAAATGGCCCTAATGTTCCTCACCTCGAGTAGCATCGTAGTGTCCAGGCCCAGAATGGTTGTATGCTATGAAGATGGCCATTTTGTTGCAAATTGTTGACGGAACAAATGGTATAAATGGGGTGCCCGGAATAGATGTTATCAAGACTATGGAGGTCTGCAAAAGGTTACTACACGCCAGAACGCAAAGATCTCCAAGGGAACTGTTGAACCATCCTGATACGGAGAACTTCGATAACTCCTCATTTATATCGAAATCCACAAAGTTCCTGTATTGTTCAATATTTTCTTCTATTTCCTGGCAAAATAAGGACCTTAACAACTTTGTATCTTCATTCAAAGATCCTTGAAAGCCAATGCGATCTAAATGTCGCCGAAATTCAGCATTATTTTCATCGTTGCTGAGCATTAACTTGTTTGCCTCCTTAACGATGCTAATGAAGCAGCAGTCACCATTTCCTGGTACCGACTCTAATTCGAGACCAAAGGACGCCAAATTTCTCTGGAGGCATTCCATGTTCATGTCACTTTCTAATCCGTATTCATCATATATATTGTCATTTTCCTTTACAATGACATAGATCAGACTCTTTTTGTTGGTAAATGGAAATTCGTAGATGTTGAAGTCTGGAGTTATACACATGCTTTCGATAGACGAGAAAACCTCTTTCAAATGTATGGCGCGACTGATCACGAGAGACAGCACTGAATCATTTTTTAATTCCGAAATTTCAACTACTTCGCTAGCCTGTACATGGACCATCGTAGAGTTTTTGTAATTAAGAGGCAAATTTCTTTGTCGGTCCATAGTAGAAGAAAGTTCAGTTTCTGATGTGTTACAGTGGAATGCCCGCATAATCTCCTTTGAGTTATTTATATTTTTGCCGTAGAGCTCTATTGGCGCTAAAGGTATCACGCGAGCATTTGACATGTGTTTCGTTACCCCTGGCTTCCCTTTATAGCTCCAGACGTAAAGAACGATCGAAAATACTGCAACAGCTAACTCTGGTGAAACAGTTGATGCACCACCCAGAAGAGATCGCTTGAGTGATTTATGTAGTCGTTCGTTTCTCTGTGTACCAGCTCCGGCGGGAATTGCTGAACAACATCCTTTTCGGATATGTTTTCTCAAGTTTTTGATAGATTCCATTGTCGCAACAGGTAACTGGGACTCCCATTTTTTCAAAAACATCTCTAAATTACTTTCTATGGTTTCCTCGTCAGGAGTTGCTCTTTCACGCTCAGTCTCCATTTGCTCCATTTGCTCGAAAAATCAAGCCAAATTCTTTTGAGAGCTGTTGTGTCTTTGGTAATCCTTTTGAAAGAGTTTTAACGACACGTTGGCATGCGTGGTAAAGATCAAGCTTTACAACAGCTTCTGGAAAAACGGATTTGTGTGAAGCTCTCACTGAACAACAATCATCAACCACCACCATATTCAGTAATTTTCCACTTGCGGAAAGTCTATTCTTTAATTCGGTAAGGGTATCTTGTACTTCACGAAAGGAAGTACTTTTAGTTAATCTCCATGCGACCACTTCGCCGTTCTCATTTAAACCAATGAAGAGGTTTTCAAACTGATTCACAAATGCCGAGTCTTCACCTCTTGTTACTCCGATGTGTTTGCTTACTTTAAAGGTGTGATCACAAGTAAGAATGGAGAACTGAGTTTTTAGAATTTCATTCTCAAAAATACTACTCACACTATCATAATATGCGAGAAAGATATACATTAATTGATCGTTGCTTGGAACAGAATACAGGGGACTAGTGTAAAATTCGTTTAAATCGACCGAATCACAGTCAGGAGATCTAGACTGTAAGAATTTCCTAAAGTGCATTGACATTATGTCTTCAGTCAATTCAAGAAAGTTCTGTCCTCTACCGATGTGAACGACCAAATAATCCAGCAGTTCTTGAGAACAGGCCGTCCGATAACTTAGATGGAATGGAAACGAGTTCTCTATTGTTCTTGGAATACTTCTAAGAATTTCTACGGAAGCAGAACGGTAGATGTGACCCACTCGGTGGGACTGTTGATCAGGGTTTTTGAATGGACATCGGTACATCGACTGCACTAATATAATGTTTCCATGTAAATCATACACAAGTCGTGGTTCGTTGAAGCTTCTGGATTCTAAGTCAGCATATCCACGAGTAACTACTGATAAACAAACAGAAAATGGGAAATGTGGAAACTATTACACACAAAAAAAAACAGAAAACAGGTCAGGTTAAATACATTCAGTTCTCGCATTTCAGACATCCCTTCGTCTCTACGGGATGTCTGAAATTCAGGCTAAAAGATTTTCCTTAGATAGTTTTTCACCTTTTTGTGTTATCAATAAAAAAAATGACTTGATTGCTAACGATTTTCATCGATACCGATATTATCTATATTGACTACTCCTGGATGTAATTCGGCTACACCCGAAACTACACCGACGTACGCTATTTTGAAAGAGTGGTAGATCTAGCTCGTGAAGCTGGGCGCCTACAAACCTGTCCAATTATTATCAGCCATCAGGAGAAGAATTTAAAGAAAGGATAAGATTTTTTTAAAGTGATAATTGTTGGATCTTTCGACTGTCAAATATTGCAACTCAGTTGTCATTAAATTTAATGTTTGCATGAATTCAAAGGGAGAGAAAGAGTTTCTGGCAAATTGTTTCCAATCAAAATATATATGTGAACTCATGTCTGGCAAACTCTTCAAAAGTTTATATACACACAATTATACGAAACTTATAACTTTCGAAACAACTGCTCCACAAAATGTCGCTGATAACGCGTAACGCAAAAGGTAAACCAAGTATGACCAAAAAATCTACCAATTTGCGGTCCTTCGGGATTTTCTGTCTTAACTACGGGCGCGAACAAAAGAAAACGTTAACCCCCTATCCCTTGCGGCCCCTATCTATAAAAGAAATCGATATTTTTTTCTGGTATACTGACTATAAATAATAACTGTAAGTACTTCCCGTAATAAACGGGCGAGCTAATAGAGTGCTTCCTCGGAATTTCGCCTTATGGGCGAAATCCGTGCTCTTCGGGACCAATAAGTTCTTAACTGACTTTCAACGAGGGTATTTTCTGGAGTGACAAATGACACTTGAATATCTTTGTCAACTAGTGTCCGCTTACAATCCTGAAAGAACGTTGCCCTCCCCAAAAAACTATATTTTCATTCGGAAAAAGAGCGTTTTCTTGGGCTACCCCTGAACTATGTAACAGACGAAAAAAAGACTTTTCAATTCACTGACTTTAATCCAACTTAAGACATACATGGTAAATACATGGCCACACTTGGCAATACATAGCAATACAGGGTAATAAATAGCACTACATAGCAATACATGGCTATACACGCAGTACATCTCAATACATGTAATACATGGGAGTACATGGCTGTACATGACAGTACACGGCTATACATGGCAGTCATGGCTATACATGGTAAAACATAGTAATGCATGGTAATACATAGTAATATATGGCAAAACATGGTAATACAAAAAAATACATGGTAATACATGGCGATACATGGCAGCACATGGTAATACATGGCGATACATGAAAATACATGGCGATACATGGCAATACATGGGTATACATGGCTATGCATGGCTAAACATGGCATAACATGGCTATACATGGCTATACATGGTAATGCATGGCAATACATGGTAATACATGGTAATACATGGCAGCACATGGCAATACATGGCTATACATGGCTATACATGGCATAACATGGCTATACATGGCTATACATGGGTATACATGGCAATACATAGGTATACATGGCAATACAGGGCTATACATGGTGATACATGGCAATACATGGCTCTACATGGCAATACATGGCTATACATGGCATAACATGGCTATACATGGCTGTATATGGCTATACATAGCATTACATGGCTATACATGACTATACATGGTAATACATGGCAATACATGGTAATAAATGGCAATACATGGCTATACATGATAATACATGGCAATACATGGCATAACATAGCTATACATGGCTATACATGGCATAACATGGCTATACATGGCTATACATGGGTATACATGGCAATACATGGGTATACATGGCTATACAGGGCTATACATGGTGATACATGGCAATACATGGTAATACATGGCTGTACATGGTAATACATGCAATACATGGTAATACATGGCAATACATGGCTATACATGGGTATACATGGTAATACATGGCTATACGTGGTAATACATGGCTATACACGGCTATACATGGCTGTACATGGCAATACATGGCATTACATGGGTATACATGGCTATACATGCTAATTCATGGCAATACATGGTAATACATGGCAATACATGGTCATACATGGCAATATATGGCTATACATAACAATACATGATATTACATGGGTATACATGGCTATACCTGGTAATACATGGCAATACATGGCATTACATAGGTATACATGGCTATACATGGTAATACATGGCAATACATGGCATTACATGGGTATACATGGCTATACATGGTAATACATGGCAATACATGGCATTACATGGGTATACATGGCTATACATGGCTAAACATGGTAATACATGGCGATACATGGTAATACATGGCTATACATGTTAATATATGGCAATACATGGTAATACATGGCAATATATGGCATTACATGGGTATACATGGTAATACATGGGTATACATGGTAATACATGGCTAGAGTGGTTTTCGTTTGAGTGTCGTAAAACCAAAACCAAAGTAATTACTCTGGCCAATCACATAGGACACAGACGAGACATTGAACCAATCAAAACTCGAAGTAATTACATGTGGCTGACGCAAAGCGCGGGAAAATGCATGCGAGCGCGTCACAATTGGCTTTGGTTTTACTTCTGATTGGATGAAAAGGTGGCGCGAATCTTTTAAGCCAATCGCATCGTGTAGAAAGTGCAAAACCAATTACTTTTCGACACTCAAATGAAAACCGCTCTATACATGGTAATACATGGTAATACATGGCAATACATGGCATTACATGGGAATACATGGCTATTCATGCTAATTCATGGCAATGCATGGTAATACATGGCAATACATGGTCATACATGGCAATATATGGCTATACATGGTAATACATGGCTATACATGGCATTACATGGCTATACATGGTAATACATAACAATACATGGTATTACATGGGTATACATGGCTATACCTGGTAATACATGGCAATACATGGCATTACATTGGTATACATGGCTATACATGGTAATACATGGCGATACATGGTAATACATGGCAATACATGGCATTACATGGGTATACATGGCTATACATGTTAATACATGGCAATACATGGCATTAGATGGGTATACATTGCTATACATGGTAATACATGGCGATACATGGTAATATATGGCAATACACGGCATTTCATGGGTATACATGGCTATACATGGTAATACATGGCAATATATGGCATTACATGGGTATACATGGTAATACATGGTTATACATGGTAATACATGGCCATACATGGCTATACATGGTAATACATGGTAATACATGGTAATACATGGCAATACATGGTAATACATGAAATACATGGTAATACATGGCAATACATGGCTATACATGGGTATACATGGTAATACATGGCTATACGTGGTAATACATGGTTATACATGATAATACATGGTAATACATGGCTATACATGGTAATACATGGCTATACATGGTAATACATGGTAATACATGGCAATATATGGCATTACATGGGTATACATGGTAATACATGGCTATACATGGTAATACATAGCAATACATGGCTATACATGGTAATACATGACAATACATAGTAGTACATGTCAATACATGGCTATACACAGTAATACATGGCAATACATAGTAATACATGTCAATACATGGCTGTACATGGTAATACATGGCAATACATAGTAACACATGTCAATATATGGCTAGACATGGTAATACATGGTAATACACGGCAATATATGGCATTACATGGGTATACATGGTAATACATGGGTATACATGGTAATACATGGCTATACATGGCTATACATGGTAATACATGGTAATACATGGCAATACATGGCTATACATGGGTATACATGGTAATACATAGCTATACACGGCTATACACGGCTGTACATGGCAATACATGGCATTACATGGGAATACATGGCTATACATGCTAATTCATGGCAATACATGGTAATACATGGCAATACATGGTAATACATGGCAATACATGGTCATACATGGCAATATATGGCTATACATGGTAATACATGGCTATACATGGCATTACATGGTAATACATAACAATACATGGTATTACATGGGTATACATGGCTATACCTGGTAATACATGGCAATACATGGCATTACATGGGTATACATGGCTATACATGGTAATACATAGCGATACATGGTAATACATGGCAATACATGGCATTACATGGGTATACATGGCTATACATGGTAATACATGGCAATACATGGCATTAGATGGGTATACATGGCTATACATGGTAATACATGGCGATACATGGTAATATATGGCAATACATGGCATTTCATGGGTATACATGGCTATACATGGTAATACATGGCAATATATGGCATTACATGGGTATACATGGTAATACATGGTTATACATGGTAATACATGGCCATACATGGCTATACATGGTAATACATGGCTATACATGGTGATACATGGCTATACATGGTAATACATGGCTATACATGGTAATACATGGCTATACATGGTAATACATGATAATACATGTCAATACATGACTATACATGGTAATACATGGCAATACATAGTAATACATGTCAATACATGGCTATACATGGTAATACATGGCAATATATGGCATTACATTGCTATACATGACATTATATGGCTATACATGGCATTACATGGCTATTTTGATACATTTCTTGATACACTTTAATAACCCTACTTAAAGTACCTACCATTTGGGGGGAAATTTACCGCTGACAAGTTTCGAGTTTTTAACTGATCTCAGGATCACCTTTAATTGGATTTCTTTATTGCAATATTTTTTCAATAATGAGAGCTTCGCCTTTAGCCTCCGCTAAATTTATATATTAGTTTAGTTCGTCGCATGTGAAGTTCGACGTTTGTCCCGGAGACGATCGTCAGACGTTCCATCCTTCTGTAGCAGACGGATAGAACGTGTTGGACGATCCAAACTCATTCAGACGAACTTAACTGAGCCAGACGTCGAACTTTTCATGAACTCAACTCACTAAGTTTGGTTAGTCTCATAAAAAGTTCGACGTTTGGTCTAGGCCGTGAAGTTAGGGGACCTTAGCGAGAACTCTTGAGGATATTTCATTTTCAAATTTACCGGTCTGGTCGGCAACTTCTAAGTTTTGGTAAGCGACTTAAAGACTGCATGCAGCTGAGAATGAACATTGTTAGGTGATTGTGTTGTTTTGACAACAAAGACTTATCTTTTTCATTTTGCATGGCCGAAACTGCGTGATTTTCCTCAAGGTTCATAACTTGAAACTTTTCCTCTAGGTCGCAAACTGTACAAAGGATAAAAATCCCTCCATCAACCAATACAGTGCAATAGCACATACATGTTCATAAGATAAAGAGATAGCAAGAATTTAATGATAACATGCAGTTTTACGGAGCAATAACGTTTCTGTCCCTAGTTTTAACTCGTATTTCAAATAAGCTGTTTCGACATATTTTATAGGCCAAAAAATGCTCGTAGTCAATTACTTATAGATGATTAATGTAAATTTATTTAATGATTTAAATCTCGTATACACTGTATCTTTCCTAATTCTTATCGAATATGATTTGTGAGAGATTTATTGTAGTTGAATATAGTAACTCTTGTAACTAATTTTATCCTTATTATCTATTGTAGCTCTATATTGTAACTAATCTTACACGAACCCACAAACATTTTGCTTTTAAATGAAAAGTTTAATCGAGGCAAAATACAAGATATGATGATAATGATGATGGTGATGATGTCAAGTTAGAACAACTGAATAATCCCCATTATATGACAGTCTCCTTGCTATTGTTGACTCAGTATGGTTGTCCATTTTTGTTAGTTTAGAGGGTATTTGAACGGTTTCGTGCAACACCTGATGAGCCCTTACAGACTCATGGCGGTCTGATATCAATATTTTCTGAGATAACTTTGTCTCATTATCAAAGAAATATCGACCTTACCACGGTTTTCGACGAAACCTTGACGAGTAGAAAAACCCGGGGAAATTACAGTGTTTTGTATGAGAACCCAATGTAGAATAATTTTCATAAGACGGCCGTTCTGAAAACATTGTGGATTGACAACTAATGCTACAAGACAAAGAATTCTAAGGACAAATTGTGAGGGCCGTATTTTTTTTTTCAAAAAATTTAGTCAGCAGGAAGAAAAATTTAAAAGACAAAAAGCAGCTGTACTGGAGGTTAGACCCGCCGATTTAGTCAGAATTCTTTGCCTAGAAGCGAACCTGAGTTTTCGATTATTAATACAGTCAAACCTCTCTACAACGGCCACCTTGGGGACAGAAGAAATTGGCCGTTGTAGAGAGTTGGCCGTTATGGGTAGGTAGAGGTGTCATGTGAAAAATTTTTTAAGGAGTACAACATGTTTATTGTGTTAAGCTTTATATGCTTACCTTATCCCATAATGGTAATCCAGTCATATATTATAATATACAGAGACAAAATACACAAAAAATTTTGAATAATGTTTTGAATCAAAATGTTAAGGCCGTGAAAAAACGAGCAAGGTTGGCAACATTGGCTATGAGCATCGTAGACAATTTTTGCTTATATGTATGGAACAGAATCAAAATACGATTGCCGCGATTAATCATCAACACGCCATGTGGATCAAATTTCATGACCATTGTTGACTTTTTCATTAGTCACTGAAAAAACTGGCCGTTGTGGAGAGGTTATTTTGGCAGTTGGGGACACGCTTTCAGTTGTGGTCGTGGCCGTTGCCGTTGTAGAGAGGTTTCAGCAAGAGTCAATGTATAGACTTTCCGCCGGGACAGAAAAAAGAAGCCGTGATAGAGAGGTGGCCGTTAGTGGAGATTCGAATGGATTTTAGAATGGATTTTTCACAAAATTTATTCGATATCGGATTCTCATACAAAGACTGTAATTTCACGCCTGTTGTTAAAGCCGAGTGTAGGGTCAACATAGGAAAGTTATTGTGCATGTACAATGCAAAAAAAAATGCCGGATTACAGCACAACTGAATTCATCCATGCACATTGCTCAGGTGACAATTTTCCTCTGGCAACGTACAATCCTGGTGTTCGTGCCCACTGTTGGACGCTCAGAAAATTAAGATATTGGCAAAGTTATGCCGGCTACTTGACTGTCTGCGAACATTGAGTATTTAAATATCATTTGAAATAAGCGGAAACCACATAATTATATACATTTCTAAGGGAATGAGATATACTACTGAAAGCTCCTTTCAAGTTTGTATCTTCGTAACTGCATGATGCTTGATTTAAATAGCGCTTGCCACGTTAAAAAAATTCCACAAACATATACCATATAAAAACTTTGAAATATCATTAGAATTTTGGTTAAGGCTTGCCTGAGTATATCGGGCTTTGGATATTACGGAAGAAAAACAGGCTTGATCAGAACAGCCCAGCGATTAACACCACTTGCACCCGCCCAAATACAGGTTCTTATCAGGATATTGAATTACTGATTGTAATCGATGCCCCTTATTCGGCTCTTTTGTATTTTTTATAGGTGCTAAACCACCGTTAAGACAAAACACTACATAACCTTATAGAGTGTGATTAATATTAACGTGGTAACAGATATTGAAAGAAGCTTAACATTTTCCAGAACAACGACTTTCACTGCGCATTTCTAATTTCTAACACACCTCTTCTAACGGGATATCCTTACACAAATGATGTACCAGGTTTTCGAATCAGTACCGCATTCCAGCACTCCGATTCGGCTGTATTAGCCGTTCCTGTAAATCAGGGAAAAACGCTCGGGTCTCCCTAGTCCATGTCAGGGGGGGAGGGACGCTGCTGCGGCGTAACAGCGTCCCCCACCCCGTAAGTGGTAATCTAGATTCCAGATTCCGGGAAGTCTCTGGTGGAGCACACGTTATACAATTTTGACTTAACACACAGTAAATGTACAACTTTTTGCATTCTGACTTTAACACTGACGGATCACATTTTACTAAATAGTTATCAACTTTCAGGAATCCACCTAACATGAACATGAGACAAGTTTTTGCTGATAAGTGCCGCTCCTTATGCTTTGCAAAAGACGAAGGATCCTGGTCGTCAAAAATTGCATGAGAAACTTAGTGGGATGAAGCAAAATGCTTCTGAAAAAAGTCAGTAAAAGGCAGGAACTTTTTTCCCAGAAAATAAAACTTAGCTCATTTAACTGACTCATTTCCGATGAGTTTCATTGACGGTATCATAAAAGAGACTCATTATTTCTGTAATCACTAAATCCTCTCGAAACACTTCAGCACTTGTTCTCGCGATAAAGTCTTGTTTCCGACAACTTCCGACTTCCAGTTTTCAAGATTTGCTGTCACTGAAAGCCAATGCTCACGTACTAGAATTAATAAATGGTGGAGTGTTGCAAGAATTCAACATCCTGATCAGTGTGATCGTGGAGAAGACCGACAAGGCCTTTAGAACGAGACGTACGGTGGATTTAGCGAGTGAAGGCAGAGAAAGGTGAGTATACAATGCCTGGCCCTCTGCCTTAGAAAGATACTCCAGTCGAACCTCTCCAAAAAGGCCATCTTGGGGACAGAAAAAAGTGGCGGTTATCGCCCGGTAGGGGTGTAATATGACCTACTTTTTTTTAGAGAGTACAACATGTTTATTGTGCTAAGTTCATACTTTCTGTATCCCATAATGGTAATCCAATCATATAATTATAATAATTAGAAATACGTTATCGCAAAAATCTCACGAAGCTAGCTGTGAGAATAGAGGAAAACAAGAAAAAGGAAAAAATACGATTAAAAAAAACTAAACAGAAAAAAATGTATCAAGAAAACGAAATTAGCCATGCCGAGATTCGAACCTACACCATTAAATAATGTTTTGAAACAAAATGTTAAGGTGACAAAAACCAGCAAGGTTTGCAACATATTATTCGCCATATTAGTATCGCAGACAATTTATGATTACTGCAGTAGTGTTTATAAATGAAACACAATCGAAATGCGATCATGCCGTTAATAATCCGTGAACCATACTGATCAAATTTCATGACCACTCCTGAATTTTCATCAGTCGTTGAAAACACTAGCCTTTGTGGAGAGGTTATTTTGGCAGTTGGGAAAACGCTTTAGTGGCCGTTGCCGTGGTAGAGAGGTTTACGCAAGAGCCAATCAGGCCAATGTATGAACTGTCACATGTTGATGATTTATTGCCTTATACGCTGATGATGAACGGTTGTCGATTCGTCTAAAACGGATCCCAAAGAACTTTACAGAAGAT